TCTATCTATCTATCTATCTATCTATCTATCTATCTATCTATCTATCTATCTATCTATCTATCTATCTATCTATCTATCTATCTATCTATCTATCATCTGCCTGCCTGCCTACCTACCTCTATCTATCTGTCTGTCTGTTTTTATTAAAGAGCCTTGATTGTTCTGTGCAAACCATTCGAAAAGATAAGCCATGGCACAGGTTTTCGATTCGCGGCACAGACTGTCACGCCTTCTTTCCGGAAATGCGACCTTTACCTTTTTGGCCGCTAGCAAGAGCTTGACAGCCTTCTCGTACTGAGCATGCTCAATGAAGAAGTCGGAGCAACGAGCCAGCAGGGCCGGGTCGGATTTCTCATCCAGGTCTTCTGCCACCAGCTGCAAGGCTGCAAACTGCTGGGTGGCAAAGGCCAGCTCCAGAGCCTTGGACAAGTGTCCGGCCTGCAAAAGAAGAGAAGAAATTTTGAGTTTTCCGCAGCCTCTTCCGTCCCTTGGAGAAGGTCCCTTCGTGGTGATGCAGGACTTGTTCTAGTTTTTATCGTCCAGCCATGGATCTGGTCCCCATGATACAAAAAAAGAGGCCGATGCTCTAGAAAGAGTGCAAAGAGCAACATGATTAGCGGACTGAAGGCTAAAAATACCAGGAATTGGGTGTGTCTAAATCTAATGAAGAGAAGGATGAGCGGGTGACATGATAGCAGTCTTCTAGTATCTCAGGGGCTGCCCCAAAGAAGAGGGAGTCAAGCTATTCTCCAAGGCGCCTGAAGGCAGGACAAGAAGCAACGGATGGAAACTAACCAAGGAGAGAAGCAACCTGGAACTAAGGAGAAACTTCCTGACAGTTAGAACAATTAACCAGTGGAACAACCTGCCTCCAGAAGTTGTGGATGCTCCAACACTGGAAGTTTTTAAGAAGAGACTGGACAGCCATTTGTCTGAAATGGTATAGGGTTTCCTGCCTGAGCGGGGGGTTGGACTAGATGACCCCCAAGGTCCCTGCCAACTCTGTTATATTCTGCACTCTGCATCTACCCTGGGGTGAAGGGATACCTTATGGTAGAGTGTCACCGCTTGGTCCATTTGTTCTCCTCGTCCTTCATAGTAGCGGGCAGCTTCTATCATGTCTTCTGGGGAACTAAGAAGAGCCAGGTTCATCAACAGGTCATCCAGCTGGTTTTCCTGGTTTTTGAAAAAACAAAAGTAAGCTTCACTTTCAGGTCTTTCGTGGTTAAAGGCAGCAGCGATTTCCCCTTGCTCTTCCCAATGTCGAGTTTTCCCTTACAAAACTGCGACTCGGCTTACCATCTTACTTGAGTTTTCCTTTGCTTTACAAACCTGCAAAGGTCATCAGTGGGAGGAATGGCCGTAAAAGTCACTTTGTAATCCCTATCCCAACAGTTGCTAAACAAGCCCGTCGCTAAATGAGGACTGCCAGTAATTGGGGGGTGGGGAGGTGTCAGATGATAAAAAAATCCCTTCCCTTTTCTAGACACATCGCAACAGCGGCAGAACACGGGGTGGGACTTTGTCCCTTTGACAAAAAGAACGAGACTTTTGCGGCCACCCCAGCCGTCATGGTGGGTCCTGCTGGGATCTTCTCGGGACATCTGCTCTGCTGGGCTCAGGAGGGTCTCCAGCCTCATCCTGGGGGTGGAAACCTCCCACATCTGGGCGCAGATTGCGAGTCCAGTTCTCCCAGCACAACTCAAGAAAGTCTACGAGATTAAGCAGCTCGGGGATGATGGAAAGTGGCCTGTACCTTACACAAACGAATCGCGTTGTTAAATGCTTGAGCCCGGGTGTAGAAGTGCACTGCCTGTTTGATCTCCTCGTGGCTCTCATACTGACGGGCCACGTGATATGAAGCTGCCCAGTTGCCGGTTGCGTTGGCTATTTCAGCGGCCTGAACAACAACAAAAGAGAGAGAGAGAAAAAAAACCCAATACTTTCTCCACTTTGAACCACGCACCTCTGAAGGAGTATCTGTTCTCAGTCATGCAGGTCATGGTCATCCAGGCAACGGTGCTTTTTCAAGAGGCAACTGGACCTTCTTTGTTTTTCCTTGAAGGGGTTTCACCTCTCACCCAAGAAGCTTCTTCAGTTCTGAGGAACCTTCTTGAAGGAGTTTCACCTCTCATCCAAGAAGGTTCTCCAGTTCTGAAGAAGCTTCTTGAAGGTGTTTCACCTCTCATCCAAGAAGCTTCACCAGTTCTGAGGAAGCTTTTAGAAGGTGTTTCACCTCTCACCCAAGAAGCTTCTCCAGTTCTGAGGAAGCTTCTTGAAGGTGTTTCGCCTCTCACCCAAGAAGCTTCTTCAGTTCTGAGGAAGCTTCTTGAAGGAGTTTCACCTCTCATCCAAGAAGGTTCTCCAGTTCTGAAGAAGCTTCTTGAAGGTGTTTCACCTCTCATCCAAGAAGCTTCACCAGTTCTGAGGAAGCTTTTTGAAGGTGTTTCACCTCTCATCCAAGAAGGTTCTCCAGTTCTGAAGAAGCTTCTTGAAGGTGTTTCACCTCTCATCCAAGAAGCTTCTCCTGTTCTAAGGAAGCTTCTTGAAGGTGTTTCACCTCTCATCCAAGAAGGTTCTCCAGTTCTGAGGAAGCTTCTTGAAGGTGTTTCATCTCTCATCCAAGAAGCTTCACCAGTTCTGAGGAAGCTTCTTGAAGGGGTTTCACCTCTCATCCAAGAAGCTTCTCCAGTTCTGAAGAAGCTTCTTGAAGGTGTTTCACCTCTCACCCAAGAAGCTTCTCCAGTTCTGAAGAAGCTTCTTGGATGAGAGGTGAAACACCTTCAAGGAGAAACAAAGACAGTCCAGCTGCCTCTTGAAAAAGCACTGTTGGGACCCTGAAGAAGGAGCTGGAGAAAAGCAAACCTTACCTTCTGGATGTTACCCAGGAAGCAATGGATACGGACCATGGAAAAATAATCTTGAGCCAACTCATAATATTTGAAAGCCGCTTCTAGGTCTGCCTGGCCTTCTAGATACTGAGCCCACCATTTCCACAAACCCCTGCAGGAGGAAAAACAAGGGGTGGGAGGGAGGGTGGATAATCAATCAATCAATAAATAAATAAATAAATCAGAATCCAGACCGATGACACCTTTGGAAAGTGTTGAGCTATTAATAGCCAATAGTTACAATAGCCATGCTTGTAAACCAGAGGTCCCCAACCTTTTGGGCACCAGGGACCGGTTCCACGGAGAGAGGCTTTTCCACGGACCGGAGGGTGTGTGTGGTGTTGTGTGCTGTCTGCATCCCACGGATGGGGCTTTGCTTGTTTGTGCGGACATGCCACGGCCCGATACCAGTCCACGGACTGGGGTTTGGGAACCCCTGGCTAAGGGGACACTCACTTATCTTTCATCCTGTTGACGTAAGCCTCCAAGGCTTGCAGATCCTCGGACAGCATACGAGGCACTTCAAACTTATGAGTGTCGGACTTCTCGTAGCTGCGCAGGAANTTTGTTTAGTTCCAGTCCAGGCTGAGTATTTACAAGGAGTGAAGAGTATTTATAGCGAATGAAGAGTATTTACAATTCCAGCTCCTTGGACCTGTGAGATCTCTCACAAGAAACGAAGGAGGGTCTCAAGACAGAAGAGGCGGAATCCAAGCCAAGAGATTGCTTAGGTCTGGCTGGCTTAGAATGGATGTTAAACGTTTCTGACAATGACTTGGAACACCCGGGTTCAAATTGCCACGTGGGTGGTGAAAGTCCCGGGAGGGCAACCTTGAGCCCGGTCCTCGGCTCAAATCGCCTTCATCACATGCAGGAAGTCCTCGTCTTACAACCATCCGTTTAGCGGCCGTTCAAAGTTACAACGGCCCTGAAGACTTAACGACCGGTTTTCATTGCAGCATCCCCGCGGTCCCGTGATCAAAATTCAGGCGCTTGGCAATCGACTCGTATTTACGACGGTCGCAGTGTCCCGGGGTTGTGTGATTTCCCCTTTTGAGACCTTCTGACAAACATAGTCAATGGGGAAAGGCAGATTCCCTTAACAACCGTGTTACTAACTTCACAACTGCAGCGATTCACTTAACAACAGTGGCAACAACCGTCTTTTCTGACTGGTGGACTTCAACTCCCAGAATTCCTGAGCCAGCATGGGGGAAACTTTGGCCCCCTCATGACTCGTGGACTTCAACTCCCAGAATTCCTGAGCCACCATGGCTCAGCTTGGAAACCTCTCCCTTTCCCCTCAGCATGGCCGGCTCAGGAATTCTGGGAGTTGAAGTCCACGAGTCATAAAAGAGCCAAGGTTGCCCACCCCTGCCTTATACAGTACATGTATGAAAATAAGAATGTTTAGGGAGACAGAACTGGGAACATGACAGTGGCGTGCATTTTATCCGGAGTCCTTAGTGGCAAGGCAGCATACAAACCCTTGAATAGACACACAAACAATAAATTAACAGAAAAATCAGCTGTAACCAGATTCCGAAAACTCCAGAATGAGTCTGACTGAGTCCTGAGTCAGAGGTGGACAAGCTCTGGCATATGGCAGCCTGCAAACACTTACTAGGTGATGGCAAAGTTGCGCTCGGCTATGGCTTCCAGGTGCTTGGCATAATTGTAGTAGGTCGTGCGCAGGTGCACGCGGTCCTGAGTCTCGGCTACCTCGATGGCTTTCTGCCATTGGTCTGAAGCCTGGTAGAACTTGTTCAGAAGATCGTGGCGTTTGCACTGCTTGTATAAGTGCTCGGCGTCCTCCTGGAATGGAGATCAGAAAGCTGGGAGTGAGGGATGCTGCTGTGAACGCAAGGATCATCGTTATCATCATCATTATCGTTAGGAGCTGTGGTGGCGCAGTGGTTAGAATGCAGTACTGCAGGCTAACTCTGCCGACTGCCACCAGTTCGAGCATCACTGGCTCCAGGTTGACTCAGCCTTCCATCCTTCCAAGGTGGGTAAAATGAGGACCCAGATCGTTGAGGGCAATATGTTGACTCTGTAAACCGCTTAAGGAGAGCTGTAAAGCACTATGAAGCGGTATATAAATCTAAGTGCTATTGCGAAGGAAGGAAGGAAGGAAGGAAGGAAGGAAGGAAGGAAGGAAGGAAGGAAGGAAGGAAGGAAGGAAGGAAGGAAGGAAGGAAGGAAGGAGGCTGACTCTGCTCAATGCCAGGAGTTCGATCCTGACCGGCTCAAGGTTGACTCAGCCTTCCATCCTTCCGAGGTCGGTAAAATGAGGACCCAGATAGTTGGGGGACAACAGTCTGACTCTGTAACCCGCTTAGAGAAGGCTGTAAAGCACGGTGAAGCGGTACAGGAGTCAAAGTGCTATTGCTATCATCCTTTATAGAATTCTTTCCCACGTAATGAAAACATTCTCTGAGATCCTACTTGAACGAAGAGGACTAAGGCGTTCTTTGGTGCATTCTGAGCTCGGCTGTTTCCTTGCACACATTTCTTTACCCAGCTAGGCAACAACATCAGTGCTCGTGCTGATGATGTTGGCCTAGTTTGGTAATGAAATGTCGGGAAGGACATTTCCTTCCCAGCTCAGAGGGCACCAAGGAACCCCTCCTTTCAACCCTGAGCTACAAATCTTCCGCATGGGAAAAGGAAGAAGGGCCCTCGTTCAAAGGGTGCATTCGGACACTTGAGCAAGGGTTAAGTACAGGAGGCATCGGAGGAACCGACGCCCAAAATAGAATCATTATGACCGAAACAGGATGTTTAAATAAAAGCAAGAAAAGTACTACGCCAGCCGACCTGCAGGTCACTTCGAGAACAAGGGGGCGTCCACACGGCCAGCTCCGGCTCTTCCTGATTCAGCTCTAGGAAACCAATCCATTGGAAGGAAAGCTCTGCTATCTCGGAAAACCATTTCCCAGCAGCAAGAAAACTGGGGCTGGGGAAACTGCAGACACCCTTGAACAGGCCTTGGATGTTTGACCCTGAAGGAAAGGCTTTGGATACCGGAGGCGGTAAAAGTGGGTGGGAATAATAATCAGGCTGAGATAAAAGCCACCGAGGGCAGAGCGCGTTTGACCTGAGGGTCAGCCCAAGCAAGGGAGATCTATTTATTTAAAATCAGCCGAGGTGACATTGGCAAAAGACTCAAAACGCGGGCCATCCTTGACCAACCACCCCAGTTGCGGCCAAAACGTCTGTCGCTAAGGGAAACAGTTGTTTTTTTTTTAAGTGAGCTTTCCCCCGTTTTACGGCCTTTCGTGCCACGGTGATGAATTGAATCACTGCAGCTGTTTTAGTAACCCAGTCGTAAAGTGAACCCTGCCTTCCCCATTGACTTTGCTTGTCAGAAGCTCCCAAGGGGGGAAATCACGTGAGCCCTGCAACCGTCATAAGTATGAACCAGTTGTCAAGCATCTGGATGTAAGTCACATGACCAGGGGGATGCTTGCAACGGTCGTTAAGTGTGAAAAACGTCCAGAAGCCTCTTTTTTCAGTCCTGTCGTAACTTCGGATGGCCATTAAGCAAATGGATGTAAACCAGGGGTCTTCAAACGTGGCCCTTTGATGACTTGTGGACTTCAACTCCCAGAATTCCTCAGCCAGGCACGCGTGCCTGGCTGAGGAATTCTGGGAGTTGAAGTCCACAAGTCATCAAAGGGCCATGTTTGAAGACCCCTGATGTAAATCAAGGACTACCTGTAAAAGCCAACCCGCTTTTACAGTATTTTAATTGTCAAGCATCCACATTTTGATCAAGGAGATGTGGAGATGCTGCAATGGTGGTAAGTGTGACAAACAGTCATAAGTCTCTTTTTTTTCAGTGCTGTTGTTAACTCTGGTCACTCAGTGAATTGTTGTTAAGTTGAGGACTACCTGCCTTGTGAGCTGCTCTGAGACACTTTGGATAGTGAGAGGGGCGGCACATAAAGTGAATCAATCCATAAAGTAAGTAAACTCTCAAGCTTCCTCCTTCCATTATATATTCAAGATGGACAGTATTTAATATTTATTTGCTACGTACATGGAGGGGTGTGGGTCTATACATATGTTGTTCATAGTATGTTTAGGTGTGTGTCATGCATGTGTTTCACTTTGAGAGCGGGCAACTAAATTTCGTTTTTGATGTGTGCCATTGTGCCCACAGTAAAAGAATGACAATAAAGGTTATCTTATCTTATCTTATCTTATCTTATCTTATCTTATCTTATCTTATCTTATCTTATCTTATCTTATATCTTATCTTATCTTATCTTATCTTATCTTATCTTATCTTATCTTATCTTATCTCACAAAGATGATTAGGGGACTGGAGGCTAAAGCATATAAGGAAAGGTTGATGGAATTGGGGATGTCTAGTTTAATGAAGAGAAGGACGAGGGGAGACATGATAGCAGTCTTCCAGTATCTCAGGGGCTGCCCCAAAGAAGAGGGAGTCAAGCTATTCTCCAAAGTGCCTGAAGGCAGGACAAGAAGCAACGGATGGAAACTGATCAAGGAGAGAAGCAACCTAGAACTAAGGAGAAACTTCCTGACAGTGAGAACAATTAACCAGTGGAACCACCTGCCTCCAGAAGCGATGAATGCTCCAACACTGGACGTTTTTAAGAAGAGACTGGATAGCCATTTGTCTGAGATGGTGTAGGTTTTCCTGCCTGAGCAGGGGGTTGGACTAGATGACCTCCAAGGTCCCTTCCAACTTTATCATCATCATCATCATCATCATCATCATCATCATCATTATTATTACTATCTTGTCTTTTATCTTATCTTTTATCTTGTCTTGTCTTTTATCTTATCTTTTATCTTATCTTATCTTATCTTATAATCTGAGAAAAGCTTTTTCACTTACCAGCATGCCCAACTGGACGGCTAACATGGCCACCCTGGCTTCCTGCTCCGGTTCTTGTTCAGCCTCCCGCAACGCCTTGGCTCCTTGCGCATGGCCCATGTTCCCCAGGCAGACTTTGGCAACGTCCAGCCTTTGGGTCTTCACGCACATGCGGGCCATGTTCTCCCAGACGGCTTCACTGCAGGATACAAGAAGAAGGGACGTGGTCCCGGTCAGATTATGAAGACCTTCAGGAACACGGAGGTGTGAACTGGACCTTCTGCAGGAGAGAAGACCTCTTCAGGGACCATCGCTTAAGAGCGATGTGCAAACCAAGCATCTGGTCTTTAGCTCTTCGTGCACGGGTGGGCCATGTTCTCCCAGACAGAGAATGCAAGGAGGAGGCACGTGATCCAAGCCAAGCGATGGAAGACTGTCAAGAAGATGGATGTGTGAACAGGAGACAAGACCTCTGTAGAAACCCTCTATAGCTCAGAGCAGGGGTCTCCAAACTTGGCAACTTTGAAGACTTGCGGACTGCAACTCTCAGAATTCCCCAGCCAGCCTGACTGGCTGAGGAATTCTGGGAGTTGAAGTCCACCAGTCTTGACGTTGCCCAGTTTGAAGACCCCTGGCTCAGAGCGATGTCCCAGCCGAGACATAGGATCAGAGACATAATACTAACTCAATGGGTCAAAGTTAGCCAGGCTAGCTTGTTACGCTGGCTTCAGTTGAGTCTGTTCTACGTAGGACCAAGACTCAATCCAACTCCTGGACTTTTTGGGACCTTCAACAGACTGCTCTTTTCACTGCTCAGGCTCATCAAAGGCTGATTGTGTTCACGCCGATATTACGTTCAGCGCTTTGAGCGAGAGGAAAAAAAATGTAAAGCCATAAACCGTCCACCCCTTCCCCCCCTTGTATCAAACTCGGAGAATTTCCTGAGTTTATCTTTGGAACTCTACCTCACATCTGTCCTTCATCAACTCCAGCTTGCTGTTCTAATGAATACCATATGCAGTGGAGGAAGGGCGCACATCACCCTCTTTTGTTCTGAATTTAAGAAGAACACGCGGATGTTCTTGTGGTATGAATTCTGCATCTTGAACCGCAAAACTGCTCCGTAAAATGCCGTACGGAAGCACCCCGTGCATAAGGAGAGCTCCCCCCCGTTTGAAACCCACTAAACCGGTGTTTCTCAAGCTTGGCAGCTTGAAGATGGGTTAGACATCAACTCCCAGAATTCCCCTGCCAGCAAGCTGGCTGGGGAATTCTGGGAGTTGATGTCCACCCATCTTCAAGCTGGCAAACTTGAGAAACACGACACTAAACTGCTGAGGTTCCACTTTCCAGAATTCCCGGTCAAAGGCCTCATCTCACTATCTTCACTACGCTGGTTGGGAATCTTGAGAGGTTTTAACACATCTGGAAAGAAGATCACCTGGCCCCTCCCCCTCCGGGGACCCTGCGACCGTCATAAATATGAGTCAGTTGCCAAGCAAACGAATGGTTGTAAATGGAGGGCTGCCTGTACTGATGGACTTTTGCAGCGGGACCCGCATGGCAACTCATTTTCAGGGCTCAGGTTTCAACCTTAAAAAAAAAGGATTTGCTTAACGCGCAACTCAAGTTTTCTGTAAAGTGAAGCAGGACAAACAACGTCGTCCCAAGCCCACCTGTTTCCCTCCAGGGGAAGACAGGAACAAGAGAAGGAAAAGACTCATCCTGTCGGATCGCTAGCAGGACGGAAGACATACCGAAGACCTCTTCGGTGGACTTCAAGGTTTTCTGAGTTCTTTAAAAAAAAAAAATTCTGGAGGCCTAAGCAGTATTCCCCCTCCGTTCCCAGAAAGCGATAAAAGAAGAAGAGCGTCAGGATCACAAAACCTTCGTTGTCAAGTCCTGAATAGCAGCTAGAAATTGGTGTCCAGGGGAGCCCTCGCAAGACTCCTGCTTCTGCCAATCGTTCAGCCTTCTCCTAGGAAATGTATTCATTTATATCCCATCTTTATTATGTTTATAAATAACTCAAGGCTGCGAACATACCGAATATCCTTTCCTGCTCCTATTTTTCCCACAACAGTAACCCTGTGAGATGGGTTGAGTTGAGAGAGAGTGATAAAGTCACCCATCTGGCTTTCGTGGTTAAGGTGGAACTAGAACTCACCGTCTCCTGGTGATTGGGCCAAAGTCACCCAGCTGGCTTTCATGGCTAAGGCAGGACTAGAACTCACCGTCTCCTAGAAATGCTAAATTTTTCTCGGAAGTATAATCCTATTGGATTTTTCCATCTCATCCAACAAACAAATTTCTGCACTGTTGTCCAGAATACCCCAATTCTGATTATTTTTGTTGTGGTAAGCAAAAGAAGAAAAAAAAGCAAACCATTCTTCACACTGAACAAGAGACCCAGGTATTTTGTGTGCTTCAACCGTCCCAGTTTTCCAAGTTAGATTTGATGGGTTGCGACACCCTTGAATCCCAAACCTAAGGGATTAACAACAATCTATTTTTGGAGGATCTATCTATTTTTGATGATGTTACTTAGTGTTGGTAATAAAACATCTGCAAGAAAACTACCAAGCTCAGAGAGCACCAAGGACCCCACAGTTCTCCTCCACCTCCTTCTCCTTCTCTCCTTCCTCCTCTTTGTAAACCCTACTACTCCCTTCTAGCACTGATGATGTTACCAAGTTGGGTGATGAAACGTCTGCAAGAAAACCACCCAGCTCAGAGAGCACCAAGGACCCCACAGTTTTCTTCCTCCTCCTCCTCCTCCTCCTCCTCCTCCTCCTCCTCCTCCTCCTCCTCTCTGCAAACCCCATTCCCTTCTAGCACTGATCACGTTACCTACTTTGGTAATGAAAC